AGCATTGCGTCTCTGCTCCGTAGAGCAGCACTGTCTATCGCATACAGGATGCGTATTTCGATTGTAGCAGCAGCGTAGTGCAGCCCTGGGCAGCTCAGCTCAGTATAGAGGAAACAACATGTTTACATCAGGTTGTTTTGCCTTTCTGTGGTCTATTTCCTGCTAATTTGGATTTTATTCTGTGACTATTGAACCTCTACTGTATGTGAAAAAGCAAAATGATTTTACAGTTTGGGTTTTTGCAGGTTTACTTGTGTTTAATAAAGTAAATTATGTTCCTTTATGCTGAGCTGTTACCTTCAGACAGTCAGCAGTTCAAAGTCCTGTTGGGGTCCACATGGATCAGAGATTGACCATCAGATTGTTCTGTGTTACTAATAAATCCATAACCAGGAAGTATTTCTCATATACACAAACTGATACACAGTCAGGAGTTTGCATATGGTGTTTTATTATGAAATACCGGATGACATGCTTTCATGCGGTTTTCATGCTTGACATCCTGTCTGTATGCAATGCTGCATTGATTAGAATGGCAACCTATTTGCTGCGTGATACGCGGCACTTATGGAACATGCTCAAATACGGATCCTGTGTGTTTAAGGTTTCATCCTGCTGTAAACAGAGTCCCAGAATGACTTCTGAATCGGTTTTTATCAGGTTGGATTTGTCAAAAATCCAGCTTCGGTTTGGGAGTTACAGTACATTTAGCAGATGAAGTTTGAGTCTATCTGAAACATCAACAGGATCAATATAATGAGCTTAGACTGTTTGATGAATGCGGTAAGAAAAGCACTGGGCCTGGATGACCGTCTGGTAACAGGCTGGAAAAGGAGCCAGCAAAGGTACCAGCAGAAGAAGCTGAAAGGCTGACAAGGTGGCAGAACTCATTAGAGGTCTGCTAGGCCTCATTCCTAGCCCAATAACCGGACTAACTGGCTGGTTATGTGCACGGCTGGCTAACTAGATGAGAGGCTTCATGGGAAATGAAATGACAAAAAAATAATTAAGGGTCTTCACAAGGTAAAAATGAAATGTTGGCAGTGGTTTTAGAGATGGTTGCTGACTGCTGGGTCTCTGTGTTCCTGTCCAGGCTGACTAGTAATCAGGTGATTGATGCTGTGCTAAATGCTGAGCTCCAGACATCGATTTGCACCCTTTTCTTCTTTGGCCTTGCTGTAAATGCGTCCCAACCATACCTCTCCGCCACCTCTGAGACTTCATCTTCTCCTCTCTCTCTTTCCTTTCCCACTCTCTCATCCCTTGCTCTCTATCCCTCCCCCCTCTGTACCTGTCCCCTCTCTCCCTCTCAAAGAGCAGAGACTATTTTAAGGGAAAATCCATTTCTCTTTACCCAGATTATCACATCGCTCTTCTTGGTAATTGAACGAGGCTGCTTAGTCAATAGAATTGTATTGGAATACAATACCCTGCTGAATGGAGCAGTGGTGCATCTTGGATATCCAGAGCGAGTGCTGAAACTGTCTGGGTGTTAACTGTGCTGTAAAAGACACATTACTCCACTCTAAAAGAGGCGGTCTTTCAAAGTAATCCTCTTTCAGAGGAACCTTACCTGATGTCCTTATTTCCTACAGTTTCCACCTCTAAACAAATGTCTGAGGAAATGTAATTTCTCTCTGTAGATGACCATCCAAACATCCTTATTTACCAGGAGTTCTTCTTGCTTTCCTGTGTGACCCTCACACACTGTTCAGAGCAAAATGGACTATTTATTTCAGTGTTTCCAACGCACATTGATGACTTCTTCAAGTGACCTGAAAGTACACAAAAATAAAAATCCTCTCAGTTTCAATAGCTGCGACATCATTTTGTGGATTTTAGGCTGTGTGAAATCAATTCCAACCTGCTTGTATCAAAATTGATTGTAGATTCTCCGTTACAGGGCAAAAAGAAAAGGGTGAAAAATGTCCACGCCATGCCTGTGAGTGTTTCTGAAGGACAGTTGTGATGAAGTTTTAGGGGTCACATGAGCCGCCGAGTCCCACATGAGCCCACAGAGACAGGCACCTGTTGAGAGATGGGGGAGTCCTAATACAGTGAAAGAGTTAAACTGTGGATGGTGCAAAGCTATAACAAACTCATTACTGACTGTGTAAATCACATTAATCTGATCCTCCTTCAGACTACAGACTGAATGCAGATTAGTGTTTGATGATATCTATAGGTGGTAGTTATGAGGTCTTTATTAATGGTATAGCAGCATGGACAATGTTATGTTGTTAGTTATATAAGAAAGCCAACAGATTCAGCTCCTGCCGTTGTTGGGTTCTTTAAAAATTGAATATATGGTAGTAACATTTTTAGCTACAGCTCCTGTAACTCTCTGAAAATTTGGGTCTTCAGTTCTCACATTTTTATTCGATATACCCACAGTTATCGACTACACAAGACACCAACTCACTCCTCTGCAAGAACATCATTAAACTCATGAGCTGATGTCAGAAACAGGGTTTTCCTGTATTACAACATCGTTTGCAGCATTTCTCTCACTTATTTTAATGAAGAATATGTCATGAAATGTTTGTCCCTCTGCAGTGGTTATACCTAAAGTATTAAGTATTTTCACATTTCCCCAGTTCTTTAAGTGGGAAGCGAGTCTGTGTTTTGTGGATCGATGACATCTGTGCTCAAAGATGTCCGCGGGGTTATGTTTGCGCTGCAGAGACAGGGAAAGCAGTAGCTGAGAAACATCCAGGGAAGGCTCTGTAAGTGTCTTTTTGTGCAAAGAAATGCAAGATTCTGTCTGCCACAGATGGTGTGCGTGAGTGTGTGTGTGTGTTTGTGTGCATGTGCCATGTTGGACTCCAAACCAACTTAGCAGCTGCTAATTACTCTGACAGAAAAATCTCTCCCTCTCTGTTCTCCCATCAATACACACTCCCTCTCCCTCCTCACTGGGCCTTTTCTTTGTAACTGCTCTCTTTTTTCCTTTCTGTCTTTTCTTCCTCAATTTCATATTTTGGCCTTTTTCTCTCCCCACCAATTTTCTTCTGCTGCTCATTTTTTCCCTTGTTCTGTTTTTTTTGTTGTGACTACACCTGAGGCTTTCCCTACCTCCTTCTGTCTCTTTCCTCTTTCTCTCTTTCTGGCCTGTCATGCTGAGGCAGTTGTCAACACCACACTGGACTGAAATTTCTTGTTTTCTTTTCCACCTCAATCCATTCCTCCTGTCCCATTTTTCTTAGAGTTTGGCTTCAGTCTTTGTCATCACGTCCTCCCCTCCTCTCTTAAGCATGCCTCCTGTTTTTCAAAATTTCATCTCTCTTCCTCTTTTTCCTTCATGAAACTCAGCTGAACTGCTGTCTTCATTTTATAGCCATCTGAAAGAATTAAAAATACATGCTGGGGAAATCTTAAGGGCAAGAAGTAGAGTGCTTGTGTTAAAAATACAAAACCCTCTCCTTTTTCCTCCACCTTTATCCACTCTTTCTTCAACCCCCCAATATGATGTCACCTTTTGATCACCTCCATTCTTACGTCGCCTCTTCCTCCTCCTCTTCCTCCCTCATTTTTAAAATGTCAGTGAGGAATTTCAAGAAGGTGACAGGAAATATTTATTGTTCCTCTGAAAAGACAAGAAAGAGCACCTCAAAAAGATCTAGATGCAGTTGTCACATCTGCATTAAGCCATGAAAGATGGGCACTCCACATAGACAGCATTAATTGTAGATGCTGCTTCAGTGACGTCACCTGTTTGGTTTGGAAGCACGGTTTAGATGCAGATCTGCAACCGCACCAAAGAAACATGTTACTGCCTAACAACCTAACTTTTGGTCATCTTTTGGAGAGACAAAGAGGGAGGGGCTTTGGTAATGTAAAAAATGTACACCCATATGTGAAATATATGTACATCTATACAATCACTGTATCTGCATGAATATTATACCACATATGTTTTATCTGCATACATTTTTATTTAATTCAACATCCATTCACAACATATATCATCTATGTGTATGTAGATTATAAAATCAACAGGGTGTGAAATAAAACAGATTTTTTATTTACTTGCATTAAATAAAAAGATGAAGAAAATATCGCCTTAATCAGATATAATATAAGCAAAGCGTATAGTATTGTACTGTGTATAAATCAAACATATTTTTTTAAAAATGTTTATAAAACCCTTTATAGATTATTAGTTTTTTTGTAGATATCCATATAAAAAAACTTCTATGGTTCTTCTTCTAAATCTACATTTTTATCTACTCTGGGAATGTATATCTGTAATTGCAGTGTTTTTGCGATGTATGTTACATATATGGCAATATGACTGCTAATACAAAGGCATGTATGGCATATGCCAGGCACACCTGTCAGTCAAACCAGCCCACAATAATGCACAAGACATTAACATCTTTAAAACTGAGGAGTAATAAAATAATCCACCTCGCTCAAAGTGTGTCAAGAGAAAGAACATGCTGGTTTATTCATGCAGGGCAAATTTTTCTTTTTTGGTGTAGATGTGGATTCTGGGGCTTTTGGACCCAGCTCCAAGTGGACACTTGAGGAACTGCAGTTTTCAGCACCGTTACATCTGCTTCATTTCTCAAGAGCAAAGTTGCAGCTTGGTTTACCCTGTGCAGCACTCATTAGGTCACCCATTCTTGAGAGTCGGGACAAAACATGTCCTACATAAAAAAGTCTAATTTATTCAAAACAATTAAGAAATTCTAAATGTTTGACATACTCAAAAAGTTAAATCTAATGGATTTGTGTATACCAATCCTATTTTTTAGCACAGATATTTACTTTTTTGGGGGATATTTGTTTAAATGAAACGTCTGTGGTTAGAAGGTCCATGTTATTGCTTGTGTCCTCAGCAAGAGGTCACAATATTGACCAGCCCCAAAAAACTTTAAAAAACTCTATAATTGTGAAAACATATACATCAAATAAAAATTCAGGGCTATAAATATATAAACAATGAATGGCCTGAACATCAAATAACTTTTTGCCTAAAAATCTGCCTATCAAAGTTGTGTCCTCAGTTTCTGTCAACTCCATCAGATTATTCTATAAACCTCATTAAATCATGCAATATCATGGTCAGCTATATCCCTGGGGACCCCTTTTCATTTCCTGCTTCTGGTGAATGCAACACCACCACACATGGTCTGGTAGGTTTTACAGTTTTTGATATTTTAGAGAAACAATGTCAATATTTTTATGGTCACAGCTGGACCATGTCAACACCGTCTCTCCATTATTATACTTTTTTTTAAACCATAGTGAGTTCAATTAAAGTATTTTAGTGAGATTATCAGGACAGCTAGCAACTGCCAAAAAAGTAGCTAGCTGCACTGTACAATAAATGTTTTGGAGGGAAAATACACGCCCTTACGTCAACTCCGTCAGGCGTCAACTCCGTCAGATTTTGTGTCTGACGAAGTTGACATGTAAGCTGATGGAGTTGACAAATCCAGCTATAACCTCTTAATGTGCTGACATTATGCTATTTTTGAACATGGTTAAGGATAACAATGTTATTCCAGGGTCTTATCTGCACATAAAAGTACATTTATAGCATATATTACGTTATTTTACCATATACTTCTGTTTTGTAGAGTAGACCATGGGCAGGCTGTCTGCTTAATTATAACTGTCAAACTTTCCCAACACACACACACACACACACACACACACACACACACACACACACACACACACACACACCCTAATCTCATTGATTGATTGATTAATGTCAAATCCTAAAGGTGCAGTATGTAATTTTCACTACCTAAAATCTACACACTGGCTTCTTATAGAGTGCGCAAGAAGTTCTATGTTGCTCTTTTAAACCCCAGTGTAGGTGGGATACCAGATAGAAGAAAAAGGTTATTATTTTTACATTGTTAACTTGGACCCTCAGACCTTGGGCTCTATTTTTGTGTCCACCGGCGACATGGCGGAGGGTGGTGAACCCCGCGCAGTGGCATTTTCGTCTGGCGGAGCTCAGCGTACAGCCAGTTTGGTATTTTCGTGGACTAAGGTGCACCGAGGTCCGCCAGGCTGGGCGTGGATGTGTGGCAGGGTGAGGTGTCCACAGAATCAGCTGGTGCAGCGACATTTTCGTACTTGTTGCCGGCGTGTAAAGTGCGCTGAAAGCTTGCAGATTCAAACCTGGTCAGCTTTCAGCACAGGTGGATCCGGATGGGCTAGTGGTATTTTGGGAGACCGGCGGCATATCGGCCTCACCAGCAGGTTTCCACAGTGTCAGGAACATTTCCGTGCAATAAATAATCAATAACAACTAATAATCTGTGTCAGCACATACATTTAGATCTATATCGATGTATTCTGATCTATATCTGATCTGATGAGTGCATTTGGCACGCGTTTGGACACTCAACCTGACCAAATTAACACAGCTGCTGAATCCGCATGAAATTGAATCAAATATCTAGTAAATAAACACGCATTATGAAGTTAACAAGATATTTAATTTGTCTGCCCCCATTTCTAGCTTCCTCTTCCTCTTATTTCTCGCGCAGCTCAACCTGGACATGTCTCCGTGTCCTCTACCCGTCCTGCTGCAGCTGCTGCTGCGGCAGCTGAACAGATGATTTGTTCCAGTGATCGGATGAGTTTTTTACTTTAAGCCTACATACAAATATTATAATAATCAGTTTTGTGAGCCAAATTTATTTTATATGCCAACATCTATGAAAGAAAGAGCCAGGCCACGGAGCGCGATTTACACACAGATTGGTTCCGATTTTAATGCCATTATTAGAATTTATGTTGTGACCTTTGCGCACAACCCACCTTTGTCACGTGAGGTTTAAATATATGCAATTTAATGTGATTGTCTTTATTTGTGGAAAAGGGTGTTTGTCTTACCAGTGGGTCCAACATTACACACACCAAATCCATCTGTGCTTATATGAGACAGTGTGAAGGACGCCCAATGCAGCGCTTACAGTGACACTTGTTAAGGAGCTGCCTTCTGTCTCCATCGTGTGGCATTGCTGTCTTCAGACATCTCTTGATCTCTTTGACTACTTCATGAAAATGGTAATTCGCCTCGCTAGTGGCGGATTCAAAGGCGAGAAGAGCTGATGTTGTTGGTCAATACAGGTCTCGGCTGTGTTTAACCCACTCCACGCCCTCTCTCCTCCCTCCCTATGACCTACGCCGCTGGAAGGAGCTGAGTTAGGGGAGGGGGGATACTTATGCCGGGCTGCACAACTCACCAAAATACGAAAATGTGCTTGGAAACGCCTTGTCGGCGCAGTGGTTAATTGCATTAACGTTATGTTCAGTATGAAAACAAGGAGTTATTAGTTCTTAATCTATTTTCACCTATTGACCTATTGTCAATCGGTTTAAAAACACATTTGTTCAATAACATATGCAATGTCATTAACTCCGTCAGTTTCTCGTCAACTCCGTCAGGTGTTCGTCAACACCGTCAGATATATGTTTTTCTTCAATTTTGGAGAAAAAAAAATTTGTTTCTTCAGTTTATATTGTTTAAGCAATAAAGGAGCATTGGCGCTACATCCTCTTGTGTCTTATTTACTTACAGAAATTGTTTTTATAATATAAAAATTAAAAACAAAGTTTGAAAATACAACTATTTAGAAATCTTGGTTTTCAAAATAGTGTGAAATCACACATTAGGTTTATATATTATATTTCATGGCATATCAGAGTAACTAAACACTACTACAACATACATCAGAACTTTAGATTCTTGTTGGACTAGAATTATTAAAATTATATTCTTTTTTTGTGTGTCTGATGGAGTTGACACAAATTCACTGTCTAAGGGAAACATGTTAATTTATAGAAAAAATGTTTTTATTTGGAGCCTGTTCCTTTACGGGGTTAAATAGCTAAGACCTTTCTCTACAGTAATAAATAACTCTAATCAATATAGTGTGCATTCTCAAAAAAAGTTTTTTAGGAAGTGTTTTGTCCCGACTCTCAAGAATCCCTGAGGTATGAACAGTCTCTGTTCCCACTCTTCTCTTTTCCCAAACATGATACACCCTCTGGGAGGGAATTGGGTCATGTTTAGTTGCTGTAGCAGCATCCAGAAGGTACTTCTCTTTTCTTTTTTTATATAAGGAGGGCAATCAGAGGGCATGACTTTATGTTTCATTCACTGGGAAGACTTTCAGAAAATACTATTTAATTTTTCATGTATTGGAAAGACATTCAGAGAGCAGATCCACAGCTTATTTTAAAGGCACAAGGACATCAGGGGGACAATCAACCGCAACAATAACTATTAACTTTGTGTGACATGCTGAGTGAACAAAGAGCAGAGTGAAGGGCAAAGAAGAGCAGTGAAACACACTTCAGGGTGGGCATGTCTTTGATAGAGCTGCTGGGTTGGCATGTTCTTTAGTGGTGTCTGATGTGACAACCTGACATGAGCTTGTGGCCGTGTCTCAAACCTGGAAAATACACCTTCAGATCTTCAGACAATTGATGTATCTCACATCAACGAACTTCCCTGTTAGTTTGGTAGGTGTCTGTTTGATTTGTTTAACCGCAAGCCACCAAACGTATTCTGTGACAATGATTTGTGATGAATGTTAAAACAAGCAAGATGAGACTGATTGTTGAAAAACATTATTCACTCACAAAAAAAAAACATTTCACTTTAAAAGACATTCAATTATGTTTTATGATTAGTGCCAATTTGAACAGTTGTCTTCAGAAAAAACAAGGATTTAAAACAATATACGGGGCAGCACTGTAATTAAGAATAAAAGATTCAAAGATTCACAGAGTAGTGTGCTGAAAAAGGCTGTGAGAATTTGAAGTCTTCATGTGTCCATTATTGCAGTAACATGTCATGTTTCTACTTTAAACTGACCTGAGATCTGACAGATTAAAGAGGGTGTGATTTTTTTTTTGTTTTTCAGACTCTATACGTCCTCCCTGATGCATCTTAAATATCTTTACATAAATTTCAGATATTGAAAAAAAAACTTCCTGTTTGTCACTCTGGTGTATTAAAATATCATTATCTCAGCCTTTGTTTTAGCTGCTGCCTCTGTTAGCTAACCTGTTAGAAGAGCCTATTTAAATGACCTTGGTAGTTTAGTGAGTCTCATAGAAGCTTGGTGAGATCTCATATGATTTTTCAGCTAACCATTTTGTTTGTTTGTTTGTTTGTTTGTTTGTTTGTTTTGTTTTTTCCTCAAATTATTCCAACCAGAGTTGGGGTAGTTACTCATAAAAAGTAATTTGTTACTAGTAACTAGTTCTGTAAATTGTAATGAGATTACTAAACCAGTGACTGCATTTGAAAAGTAACTTCGCTACTTGTTACTTTACTTTCCTGTTTCTTAATTGACCATGTCAAGGTACATGGACAAACATCATAGCCCAACCATCACTGAGCATAGTCCGCATTGTTTTGTTTATTGTATAAACGTATATTCTCCATTTCTATCTCTCTTTCACATCAGCAGCTACATCACTGGAATCAATCCCTTCATAGGACTTTTAAAGGCCACGTGATTGCACAATGCATATTGGGTCAGAAAGCGCCATCTCCGCAGGCAACTTTTTGTTTACAGGCAGGCTGAGAGATAGCGACACTGTGAGGAAAAAACACCCAAGAAAAAGGAATCCCGAGAGAGAAACGACTGTCAGAGCGTACAGAGACAAGCTGGACAATGGTCCACAGGCTTGATATAAAAAAAGAAAAATAAGTAATTAAAAAAGGTGACATTGATCCTTATGAGCACCAAACCCCTGCCTATCGTCACAAACACACAAGCTCAGAACTGTGCACACAGGGAAACATAGCTGATGTAATGCAGAAATTGTTTAGTAAAGTAATTAAGCTACTGATTTTTTTTAGTGTAGTGTGTTTCTTTACTTCTTTGCTCCCAAAAAGTATTATTGTTACTGTAATCTATTACTTTGCAGTGCATTACCCCCAGCACCGCTTACAACATACGTTTAACTTGTGATCTGAAACTTCCCAACATCTTTTATGAACACCAAATACTGTAACTTTGTAGTTTGTGTAGTAAACATGGAAAAACATGATGCCACCCTTTTGAATTGTAACACTAAAACCATACTTTGTAAATGAATATGCATACCCCTCCCGTAAGTTTTAGTTTAGCCTGCAGAACATTCTGGAGTGTCCTCGGCTCTGAAAGCTCCAGTCTTTGGCTGGACCAGTAACATGTTAGAGGCAGCTCAGTCTGCACAGATACATAGAGCTGGTCTCCACGTCTATCTTGTTTCTCTTGTTGACAGGCACCAGGATGATGTCATTTTCACATGCACACCATGAGCATGAGATTCACTGGCAGCGTTTGTAGAAGTTCTGGCTTTTGTCATATCAGAGCGCAGACAGGGAGCCCTCTGGCAGTCGCAAGTTTCAAAAATTCTCAGTGAAAGCTTTTTTGCATTTTCAATGTCACCTCCATGAGCCTTGCTCTGTGAAGACTTACATTTTTTATTCCTCTTTGTTTCCAGTTGATGTAGACCTCTGTGTTCACAGTGTCAAACTTCTTTTACCGTTTTGATTGTCTTGACCTTGTCAGTTGTCAAATTTCTCTCAAACCAATAAACGTTGAAAAGGTTTCCCCCTGTACAGTTAAAGCTCACTGGATCCTCTATTGGGGACACAGAATTTAATCTCACTTTTGGTAAATGTAAATGAACAGTATTGATACAAATCTGAATATCCTAAATACCAACATGAAAACATCAGACCCCTAAAGGTCCAGAGTCTGCGTACAAACCTGAGTTAGCATCAAACAGAAGAATGAGGGACTACAGAGTGTTGTGGATCACCAAGTCCCTGAGGTAAACAGAGCCCAAACCCAGTCCCCCTGTGGCGTATTGGATCAGACTCTGAGGAGGATTGTCTTCATTTTGGTGAGACCTGCTAGAATTTTGAGCATGACTGAGCTTCAGGAACTAACTTTTGGATTAGTGCTCCCTAAGACTCTGTGCACTTCTCTCTGTGTGTAAAGTCCGGTTATTCCTGGTGACCAAACAGAATTAGGTATCAAATACAGTCCTGTAAAAAGGTGAGTAAGCTGAGTAATAAAATCCATCAACCATCCTTTAAACGAGTTACTGAGTAAACCTTTTTCCTGTGATGGCTATAAAACAAGTCTGGTCGATTTTATCTTTAAATTTAATGTTTGCAAAGCTGTTAAACACATTTGGTGAGGTCCCCACATCAGCATGTCTCACAAACTTAGATTTCAGAGGAGTTTATAGACAAAGTCCTGTTCTTTGTTTAGTTTGAAGTTAACAGTGCTGCATCGACAGGGATTTTCTAGACCCTAATTTAGAACAAATGAGAGTCGAGGCAAGTTTGAGGTCAGTCTGATGTGAATTTATTGTTTGTTTCTCAAGCAGTCAACAAGGTCTATACTACTCTTTTAATGGTTTAATTTGCCACTGTATTTTCCTTGACTCTAGAGGGTTCAGTTTCCAAAGTAAGATGAGATCTATGAGTCTGAGTTGCCTCGGTCCTCTCTTCTCTTGTGTTCAATATTCTAGGCAGATAAGTGAGTGCAATCATCTGGTGTTGGCTGGAAAAAAAAAAAAAAAAACTGTTGTTGAAATAAAGCCTAATAAATGTTGAAAGTAGGGATCAGACTTTCTGAGCTCAGTGAGGAGATTTTCTCACCTCTGGATTAGAGAGTTAAGAAACCCTGACAAAGGGGGTGGGGGGTCGGGTCTGAGCATCACTAAAGATGGTGTTTCCAGGAGATTTTATTATTTGCCCACAGACATTAACTTTAATCAATGAAATCTCACTGAAATCTGTTGTCTTTGACGAATCCTCAATAACTGGAAGAACTTTTTTAACACATTAAAAGAAATAATGAAAAACTACAAGAGTTGAGTTTGTTTGAGCGTCTCAGACACCTCTTTTCAAGGAAGGAGAGAAACTTGAAACCCTGCAACCAGAGAGAAAAAAAGACGCTGCACTTTTTAAGGCTTATTTATGTATCGTTAGCCTGTATCAGAGTTTACTTTGGTCTCCACCAACTCATGTGGGTCAAAAGTCAAAGACAGTCAAGGTTAACCTATGTTAGAATTGTGTTTTTAACTCCTCTCTTAGCTCTTTAAGTCCTACTACGAGCCTTTTTTTTTTTTACTACTTAAAGTGTTCTCAGTGGTCTTTAAATTGTGATTATGAAGTTTTCAGCCAAAATCACGTTACCTGTGTCATTTTCTTGTCTTCAGTAGCTCATTAGCAATTCACCTCTGAATCTTTGGCGGAGACACCGCTGCTCTGCAGACATCTCTTCACGTTAGCTTGCAGCCTAACATTGCAGGTCTAGTAGAAGTAGAAGGTAACATAGGAGCTATTCAGCTCTCAGACACTAATGTCTTTGGGGACACGATGAAAGTTAATATCATAATTAGCTTTCTCACGAGCATTGCAATCCACTAACACACACGCTTGGCCTTTTCTACTTCCTGGGGCGTGGCCTACAGAGCGGGGCTTCAGGGGTGGAGCCGGGAGTTGTGATGTAGGAAATCTTACTGTTTCTGAACCTGCGGTTTGGATCTGTAAGAGATTCACAGCGATTTGAATGCAGAAATACTCAGAAATACAATTTCACACTTATTTTTCACATGATATGTCCTCTAGCATCAGAAACATGCCATATGAACATAACAAGAGACAAGACAAGAAAAAACACAATCTTCTTCAGGGTGGGTCTTTAAGAGAGGCTAACAAAGCAAACAAACAAACAAACAAAAGAAACAACGTCAGGCCTTTAAGGTATCAAGAGTTTAGAGGTGAAACTGCTCTGCTGGGTTGTGCAGACTGTCGGCTGTGATAACTACATCTCAGCTTTAGAGTTACAGGTGAGGTCCCTCACTTTGCACTTGTTTATTTAGACAGTATCCAAAGGTAATTTATCTAATATTAACTTTTGGAAACACCTGCAAATGCAATAGAAACATCTATTCTTGGTAAAATCATACATGTCCTGAGCAGATGCAGATTTGACAGCCCAAACAATAAAACCCACTGCACAGACAGAGAGCATTGCTTTAAGATACCATTAGGGTGAAATGAGAAGTTTACTGCAGCTGCTCCCTGCCTCACTGCAAAGGATCAACCGGAGGAATTTAGAGAACATGTGACAGATGTCACAAGCTCTGCTGCGTCTCTTCTTACCTGACTCCTCCTTTACGAATGAGACTTCCACTATTCATGTCCTGTTGTGGACATTTTCTGCTTGTCTAGCTTGGCCTTAAACCTGCACATCAAGTTGACTCAGAAGAATCTGGACATGGTCTCTTCATGTGTGCTGCAGTCCATCAAATCTGAACTGAACCCCTGCGTCTCCTTCTTCTCAACTGTCTCTTCTGGATCCAGATGAGGAGGCGATTGGCCATATCGGCTACAAAGAGAGAGGAGGCCAGAGAGGAGAGGAGGCACGATATCCTGGCAGAAGATACTCTCTGCTCTGTCGCCCTGGGGGGAAACAATGTTCCACTCTCCTTTTCTCCCTGGCCGAAGCAGCAAGAGACACTAAAGGAGAAGATGTAAGAGGAGAAAAAAGGCAAAGAGGAAGAGTAGGAGGTGTGCAGTCCTGGCACACACTCCTTCCCTCACCCCATCTTCTGGCAGACAATCTATCTGACACAACTGATTACTCATCTCGTTACAGTCAGCGGTTAACCTCTGTAAAAGTGTGTGTGTGCATGTGTGTGTATATGTGTGAGCGGCCTTATATCTACTCCTCATTGTGTGAACATCCATGCATGTCTGCTCAGATGTGACCTTCAGAGCATGCATGTGTTGGGATGTGTTCTTCCACGGTCCACTCAGCGCACTTCAGGAAATGCTCGCGGTTGCTGTTAGATCGAATAATTCTGACATACGTAGGTGGGTTTGATATGTTGGCGGTTGTTTTTCTGTGTTAAGTATGTGTGTGGATAATATGTCATATGTTTGTGTCATGTCAACAGGAATATCTGCAGGCTAATCATCACTCTAAACTTGGCATATCTAAGAGTTCATATATGTACTGTAGCGTGCCAGGCTAAACGTCCTGCAGCACTTGGCTGAACAACAGTCAGAAAGTGCTCCATCGTAGAATAATGTGTATACACCTTTATTACATGTTTACATGTTTACATCAGAAAACAAAGTGATGTTTTTAGAGTGATGTGTTTCTTCCTCTTTGTTGTCCCCTATTTGCTTAGTCTCATCCAGGCAGTGGTGGGCCATCAGGGCCAGTGAGGCCCTCTCTGCTGGCCTAAGCATAACTGGAAAAGTCAAAAAATATTTTCTGTATTGTCTGTTCTCTTTATGTCACATTATATCCACTTGGTTAAGCTACTTCCAATGATGAATATTACGGTATAATTTTTCATCCAATCATATTTCAGCTAGCTTGTGTTGTCAGGTGTTATGAAATCTGCCCAAGGCCTCCAGCATCAACAGAGCAAGGTCCTGTGCTCTTTAAGTCAATGGACAGTCAGTTGCAATAGCCATTTAGATCTCGAATCTGCGAAACCAAGGCCAGATAGAAGGTCTGAACTGGACATGTACGCGTCCTGTGATTGGATAAGCACTCCTGAAAACCTGAGGGCAGCACTTTGCAAAATATCAAACTAAACCCAGAGATCTGTTAGCCACCAAAAGCTATCGCTGTATTTTGCTGTATAGAAACACGATTGGACAGACACGACTTTCAGCATCAGCATCCATGTTTATAGAAAAGGACTTACTGATGGAACTGAAATGCACAGATAAACTGTACAACAGAGCCTTTAAGTCCTCTTGAGAAAAGACAAAATAATGGATCTTATTTTCAAATAAGCAGGCCCTGTGGAGGAGATCCATATTGGTGAGTGCAAGCTTCATATTTTTAATGGCCACAATAAGCACTTTATTGGACAAACTTGTTTGAGCTCGCATAGTGTACTTTTGGTGGCCTTTTCTTGACCAATATCTTAAAATCATCTTTTATTTTTGAGTTTTGACAGTATCTGTGATCTTAGTCTTCTACACTTAACTGTGAATGTGTGCTTACTGGTTTTAAATGCTCCGGAAATTAAGTGTTACTCGACTAGCCAGTATTAAGGTGATGTGTGAGTGTGATTCTGATGGATTCTTGTCATATTGATGGTGATGTGAGGTGAATTGATTTAGGTAGGACTAAGTGGAACAGCACTGAAGGCCTAGGCGTGAAATGCATGGCCTGCCATGGCATCCACGTGACTTTTGATGCCAAATTAGTTTGAGTACATGCGGAAATTGTTTTAATCTCTTCATCTGTCTGGCTCACACCTTCCTCTTCACACCATTTTGAAGGATTTAAAGGTTCTGGTCTTTTTTTGGACATCATAAACAAATCAAGATCGATTTGAGTCTGTGAAAAAGCTTTTATAGGAGCTTTGACAGTCTTTGGGCTGCGTCATTTGTCCAACAATTAAATGATCATCATTTAGACATAAGCAAAGTCCATCTACCATGTGTCAGATTTTAAGATATGTCAACAGATGATGACAGGAGATCAAGATGATCAAAGTCAGATTTGCCTGTGATTGGCTAACCATTGAATGAATAAGTATACAAGTCTCCCTGCTTAAAATTGCACTAAGCTTAATTTAGTCATAAATAAAATGAAATAAAATAAACTGTTGCATCTCTTCATGAAACAATGACGAGAATCACAGTGAGTGGATTTGACTGTGAAGAGCTCTGATCAGTCAGAAAATCATTTTAAATGTTGTGTTGTGGTCTTTGCATCTTTTAGGATAAGTTATAATCGCAAATGAAGAACAGCGTACACAGATAAGGTATGGTTTATACTGCACCCCATCTCCACCTCTGACATCTTTTTACAGCACCAACATCTCCGTGCACAACCACACGTGTTTATAAATGGACACAGTCCACAACACTCTCAGGGAACTTGAGAATGGTACCCCAAGTCTGGCATGATTGTGCTCACACTGATCAAATTAATCGAGCTTAGGGATCTGGTGAATTAAGATATAGGCCTTGGTCCTCTCTTTGCGACTCTATGTTGTCAAAATGCTGCGAATCCACCAGTCTCCCTCTGTACAATGTTAGAGCAGAGGAAGGAGCGACACGAGGACTTGGTCTTATTTGCTGTTCTCATTCATCTTTAACTGGCCTCTAATGTTTTTGTCCTGTAAACTTCATGTCTCTTTTTGGGGACACATCACTACAAATAAAGAGATGTTTGAGTTTGAGTTAAAGTGGAAGGCGTCTGGAAAAAATGCTTTTATTGCACAATTAAATTTTTACAAATCCCTTACTGCCTATCACTAAATCCTAGCAGCAAATGCATGATATTGTGGTTGTCTGTTGCTGTTTAGTGTATTTGCTTGTGTGTGGTCATGATATTCTGCCCTTTAGCTAAAATAGACTCTCTCTCTGCCTGTCTCTCTCTCTCTTTTACAACAGTTCTTTTCTCTCATAGTCAGCCAGAAGGTCACTTTGTACCTGCAGCCACACAACACAATAACCTGGACCTGACATAGAAACCATGAGGGTGCATTAGATTTGTGCAGCACTTTCCAGGAACTCAAGTACCTCCAATTCCAACTGAACCAAATATGAATTTCCTTTCTGCCTTCAGAAGACACAATTCAAGATCCTCAGCAGTGGGGAAGTGAGCTGAAGCTGCTTATTTTTTTTTGGCTTCTGCTGTCATGACAACACACACAAATATTCCCCATGGGTCCTCCTGTCCAGTCTTCCCCCAGTGGCTTTCCCAGTCCAGTCACTAAGAGCCTGAACACTGACATGACAGTCCAGATACAGTCAACCCCCCTGTTGTTTAATGTCCAGGGGAGACAGTGATAAATGTTCAGCATTATCAAATCTGACTGCCGGAGTCATGGTGGGAGCTGTTGTAAAACACCTGTTTAATTCACAGCTTGTAGTGCAAAGCCATTGATTTGTAGCCTCCCGCCATAACTGGGGGTCACGATGAAAGGGGAGTGATGGGAGACTGGCAGGACTTATTTACTTCAATTTATGACTGAGGACAGTGGATGATCTAGACTTAATTCAGACTCTAAGTAACACCATTCACACCTGATTAGTTTGTTCATGAGAGTCAGATCTGAGTTTGACTTCAGTTATTTCTAGGACAGCTTGAACAGCACAAAACAGATCTTTTCTTAATCCTATATGGACCTCATTCATATGTGTTCTCTAACTTAAAGGGATATTCTGGCGTAAATTTAAGTCATGGTCAAACACACTGTAACCCTGAGTAAGACACAACCCCCTCGAGAGATGAATGTTGCCAACTGCTTGCTTCTCTAGTTACATCAACTTTAGTAACGACCACAAGATAACAATACACAGCAGTTTATGCCTCCACGCGCAAACCTCAACCAAAACGCCACTCTATAGCCACATCTTCTTTATATCTTCTATCTTATATCTCTATCTTTATAGAGACAACTCATTATCAGGCAATTGCATGTGAATTTGTGGGTTCCTGTAAACCCTCATGATTCAAGCTGTCTGAAGTTCACCTCGAAATTTGCCTCACAAATGCATCCAGTAGAAGTTGGCGGACAACGAAAATCGCTGTCATTTCACAGCGGTGCCATTCTGATTGCACTGGAATTTTAGGGTAAGTCCGCTCGCAGTCTGTGAAAGGATGTGGAAGATTTTTAGACTGAAATCGACACATTTTCGCTGCGGCTGGACCCATGTTTGATCCCAATAATTGTTCCTGAATCTGGATTGCTGCCTGAGTTTAGGTTCCCTACAGAGAAATACTGACTTTTATTCTCTTGTTCATTAATTCAGTTGTCCCAGCGGGTGCACCTTATTCTCCAAACCTTCACAGAACTCAAAAATAATTTGGGACAAGTTGACTGTTTTTTCAGTGAGCAGGTGAGACTTGTGTATGTAACCATAGAAACTGTAATGGTGTGGCCTTGCGTGCAATATGCTGGCTGAAGCAGGCAGGGATCTTCCAATTAGAGGACAATTCTCTTTCTTCTGAGCTACAGAGCTGTCACCTTAGGGCTGTTTGGCTCTGCGCCTCTGCTGCAGCTGATGTGTGTTCAGCCTGATACGGGACCTCTCAGCAGTTTTCTTGAGGGTGGTTGTACTAGTTGAAAGGGTAACCCTGGCTGGCTTACTGCTATAATGGTTATTGAGTTCCAGGCAAGCAGCAGGCATACAATAGACCTGGAGTTAAGAGGCATCCCCTTTAAATCCTGCATAAGCAGCTCTTTGCCATCATTTCTTTATTGATAGTCTTTTAACGCTCTGATGAAGAATATTGACTGCTGAGTTAGCGATTGATTTGTTTGCTCAACACATAAACTGGTTCTCTCTCTCTCTCTCTGTGTGTGTGTGTGTGTGTGTGTGTGTGTGTGTGTGTGTGTGTGTGTGTGTGTGTGTGTGTATGCACTCTCCCTCCGTCCCATTTAAAGAAATAGTGTGCAGAATGACCATTGCTGAACCGTCCTGTGTGGGAGCTGCAGTCTTGCATAGAAAGCATGTAGACAGCATGTGTGCTGATGAAACAGCTCCTCTAGAAATACTCCACAACACACACACACACACACACACACACACACACACACACACACACACACACACACACACACACACACACACACACACACACACACACACACACACACACA